TGAATGTTGGTGAGCTGGTTGTACGCATGAATGTTGGTGAGCTGGTTGTACACATGAATGTTGGTGAGTTGTTTGTACACATGAATGTTGGTGAGATGGTTGTACACATGAATGTTGGTGAGCTGGTTGTACACATGAATGTTGGTGAGATGGTTGTACGCATGAATGTTGGTGAGCTGGTTGTACACATGAATGTTGGTGAGCTGGTTGTACGCATGAATGTTGGTGAGCTGGTTGTATACATGAATGTTGGTTCACAACATGAAGTCATAGCTGACTGGAAATGAGGGTGACAGGGTCGCCTGGACTTAGAACCGTCAGAGCCAAGTCTAGAACCGACTAAAGTTCTAAAGGATTGACAACCGAGTCGCCTGATAACTTTCCCATGTTTTCCTATTTAAATTCCTTTGACCCTCAGATTAATACCATTGCCTGTATGTATGGGATGCTGGTGGTGGAAGGGGGGGGGGGGGGACAACAATACCCCCACACACCCCTGTAATAACCTTCCCCCTATCAATTAACTTCCTCTGCAGGTTACATTGCTTATTGAATGAATACCCCCCTTGACTATTCTTAATATAATCAATACAAAAAATGCAATTAATAAAAAAAAAATTATTCAAATAAACAATAGTTACAAGGTTACACTGTATAATGTAATCGATTCGGGTGCATCCGAAACACACAGCAACAGACATACACATCGATGCAACAAAGCTCCCTTTGATAATTCTCTTTGAACAGACACTGAGTCAGGCGCGACTGTCAAAGCAGACATTGATACGTACTTTAACAGACAAACCAGCCGGACATCAAACCTAAGTTCCACACAAACAGGCCTCACATTCAGGTGTTAGAAGTTTCGCCTCATTCATCGCTTAACTCCACGCATTCACACCATCAGCAGTATACATGTAGGGTGATTACATTACCGCGATAAGTACTTAATGTTGCTTACAGTGTATTGTCAGTAATGGGAAATGATAACTCGTATGAAGTGTGGTAGATAAGTGGTAAACAGAGGGGTAATGTCCTACTCCAGTTGTTTTTTTTTTCTTTAAAGATGTAGTATACAATGGGTAATTGAATGTAATGGAAGAAGGGGTGTAATTTACTAGGGGGTGTCAGAGGTTATTGAAGGAGGGAAGGATGAGGGGAGGTGGTTAGTAACTAGAGGTAATATAGGGGGACGGGGATTTTGATATTAAAGGGGGTGTGGAGGTCTATATAATTCTGTTTAATATTTTAATATGTATATTGTTGTTAATGTGGTGTATAGTATTGCTAATGTGTTGTATATAAGTGTTGTATAGTGTTGTTAATGTGTTGTATAGTGTTGTTAATGTGTTGTATAGTGTTTTAATGTGTTGTATAGTGTTGTTAATATGTTGTATAGTGTTGTTAATGTGTTGTATAGTGTTGTTAATATGTTGTATAGTGTTTTAATGTGTTGTATAGTGTTGTTACTGTGTTGTATAGTGTTGTTAGCCTTTTTCTCTTTAATTTGTAGGAAATCTACCTAAGACTGTAGAGCTAAACTTAAAATATATAACATATAACATATAAATAAAAAGAATTCACAAATCGCATTTTACATGCAGGTATATGGACTGTTTAAAATGTCACGCCTACATGCATCACGTTCTGCAGATGAAGTAGAGTTTACTTATTATCATGTTTATGCCACGGTGTAAGGTTTAAACAAAATTCCCCAAAATGTTTTCACCATACAAAAAAACCTGGCTAAATTAGACGTGCCTGCACATGCCGTCACTCATTAGTTCTCCACCACAAATAATAGCTTCAGCACGCGTACTGTGGTGAGTACTAATTACACGTCGGTTACCTGACAACATAGACGGTATTCGAGAGGTAAGGAAAAAACGGTGGGGGAGGGGGGTGTAAATCTCGAGGAAAATAAAACTGCCAAACGGAAGCGGAACTGGTCCTACGTATGTGGCTGTGTTAAGTGTACGCATGCGCGATGTTCAAACAATTTAATCTGGCGTAAGCGTGCCAGGTAGTTCAATTTTCTTTAAAGTTTTTTTTTTTTTTTTTAAATTAGTGCACGCGTTGACTCGTGTATTGCAGCACTCATCTACACACCAGCGTGTAGGTCGCGTATAAACAGTTTAACTTTATATAAACGTCTATATTGATGTGTGTAGAAAGTATGGAAAATGAGCGATACCATACACGAATCTTGTTTTAGCATCAGAAGAGATATTTAATCTCTTTAAACTTCACCTGGTTGAAGAAATGTACGTAGAAAGAACCTACGGACTAATAAATTGTCAGTGTAATTATCAATACGTTGCAGCGTTTGTTTTAGTAAAGCTAGTTTGTCTTATTTATTTTAAAATATAATATCAATAACTTACTGAGAGGTGGAGGGGTAAGGCATTCGAGTGTAACTTTATCCCCCTCCCTCCTGTGGGGGAGAGGTCTTGACCATTCGAGCGTGATATATGACCCCCCCCCCCCATCTCCGTCTCTGAAGCGCTGGGATTATAAACATTTAACTGACATCCCAAAAACCATATCGTGACTATTTCGTCACATTTCAGGACAAAGCCAAACTCTTCTCACCATCAGCTTAGGCCATTTCGTCACGCGTAACGTAACCCCAACTTGCGCGAACATCCAAAACAATACCCCCCACCCTGAGAGGTGTAAACGGTGCTGATGGGGTATTGTGGGCTTGACGACTTCCAGACCTCATCACTGGAACCTCGCCAGGTAAAGGGAGAGAAAAAAGTTTTGTTGTTGGGAGTTACCGTTCTTTGCCACAAGTTAACTCCCCATTACTGCAAATTACAAGCACTAAAATTTGTGAGGTACCGGTACAGATTTCACCGTCCCGGACAATTTGTTGATGGCTAAAGGGTTAAGCGATTTTTTTTTTAAGTGAATGTTCTGTTATTGATGGCTAAAGGGTTAAACGATTTTTTTTTAAAGTGAATGTTCTGTTATTGATGGCTAAAGGGTTAAACGATTTTTTTTTAAAGTGAATGTTCTGTTATTGATGGCTAAAGGGTTAAACGATTTTTTTTAAAGTGAATGTTCTGTTATTGATGGCTAAAGGGTTAAACGATTTTTTAAAGTGAATGTTCTGTTATTGATGGCTAAAGGGTTAAACGATGTTTTTAAAGTGAATGTGTCTGTTATTGATGGCTAAAGGGTTAAACGATGTTTTTAAAGTGAATGTGTCTGTTATTGATGGCTAAAGGGTTAAACGATTTTTTTAAAGTGAATGTGTCTGTTATTTTTAACGTAGAGCTTTAACTTTTGAAAAAAATAACTTTTTTTTAATTTTTTTTTTTTTTACTGCAAGCGGGTGATGATTATAGCCAATTAGTCTATTGTTAGAACAGTTAACATACACTTTTGTTAACATTCTTCAACAGGCTAACATAAAACTGTCTCGAATACTTTGTCACTAGAAATGGAGCGTGTTTGTGTAAACTTTTTTAAACAAACCTGGCTGAACTCAAAAGTAACACAAGATATGACTATACGACTGTTTAGTTGTATTAAGTGCATAATAAAAATAGAAATAGTGAACACAATTCAAACCTAAAAAAATATATATCAGCAACTAAAGGTAAACGGAAAAGTTGTATATTCACGGTATAGGAACATCGAAGTTCAAAGCTGTTCTTTAAAAATAAAAATAAAAGTTCTTATTTTGCAGGTATGTGTTGGACCTTACGAGAAATGTGCCTCGATATTTTTCAGGTTAACATATTTTCTATAACAAGAGTAGTTCAACCAGATATATGAATGATACGTATTTTATATTATACATATATAAACAGTCTTTCATCATAACGTAAAGAAACACGGCAAATTAATAAAACAATAACGAAATCTTCTATCTTGTTTAGCCAACCATATATAAATGAATTCGCAGAGTAGAATATTTGTGCATTTATAATATTTCAGGTATAGCCAAATACAAGATAAAAATATTGAAATAGCCTACATGTAAATATATAGCCATTATTAAATAATACTTTAATAAACAATAACTCTTTTTTAAAATTTAATATCAAACTAAAACTCAAGAAAAACATTAATCAACGTATCCATACTTATTAGGCCCAGAAATATACAAAGTATGCCAGTTTCAGATGTAGGTAAAATAGCGGGTAGAAACAATTGAAAAGCCCTACCTTTGACGGCGCGAATATCTGTACGTGACCAGTCTAAGATGGCCATTCAACTGGTCAGGGGGACGGGAAAATTGGCAGAGGTCTGGAACTTTGGGTCTGCGATAGCGGAGTGTGGACTGTCCGCCAGGAGAACAATGCCAGGCGCTTATCATGGGAGCTTTATGTTGGGGGGGGGGGGGGTGTCGTGTAACAGGGGGGGGGGGGGGGACATGCAATTAGTTGGTGTTGGTTTTTTTATAATAAACTCGCAGTGTTTAATTGATATGGTAGTTTATTTCAGCCTAGAATCCAGTCTTTCGTTATTGTTCTGTATACTTAAAGGTTTGTTAAAATGAAATGTATCCTATGCAGGCGTTCAGTGCCACCTGAAACCAAGGAGAGTTTGAACCCTCGATGCACCATAAGTGGGAGACTGAAACCTGAGGCGGACCGTAGAAACTATTTCTCAATGAGGGTCTTAACCTTTTAACCCTTACCGAGATAGACCGAACCCTATGAAGACTAAGGGAGCTAAACTATATATATATATATATATATATATATATATATATATATATATATATATATATATATATATATATTGCTTTTTCAGTTCCTTTTATTTTATTTTTTTAATTTAAAAGATTGATGCATTCCTACGTTTCTAGAAGTGCCACTATAACGTAAAGAGTTTAGAAAACATAGCCTAATTAACCTAAATGATGGTCTGGAAAACTGAAGGCTATTGTTTGCATATAACACACATCATAGCCACACATAAAACACACATGAAACACATAAATCACACATGCAAGTACAATCAACTAAAATATTGAAACTTACCATATACAATGTAAATAATTCCTTCTGATTCCAACTACTGTCTCGTACACTTGAGTCACTTCAAGATTCGTTACACAGTACTTAAAAACTAACACGAATATGAAATTGTGTTTAGCCAAACTAAAGCCAAATTGGCAAGTCAGCCTTAGAAAGAAAACGATTCACAAACACTGTTAAAGTTCGAACAAAGTTTTTCCACTACAATTACATCGTATTCATATAACAATTTTCATTTTATGTACTCGAAAGTCTATCACTGTTTTTTTTTTTTTTTTCTTTTTTTTTTAAAAATACGTTCAAGAAATCCAACCGATTTTCGGGAAAGATAAACATAAAAATTAATTAAAAATGTTCCGCTTAAAGTTTTTGCACTGAGATATCTAGATGTTAAAAACTGAGGTAAAAGTGAGATAAAGTGAGACAGATGGCGTCGCGATGAGAGAGATATATATGCATGAGCACGAGATGTATGTTTGTCTGAACGAGTGAGGTCCAAAAAAATATTGTCCAAACTTTATGAAAACTGGTTGCCGGAATATCAACAAACAAAATATTAGGAATGGAACTAGAATGTTTTTATTACAGAAAAGATTTTGTCGTGAAATACAAATTTTAAAACATACAAGCGCAACTCGCATCCAACGCCCACTAGCATACTTCACGCGCGCGCTGATACTGGAGTGTGAGTTGTCTTTACCTTGTGCCCGTGCGCCGATGATTTATTCGGGTGAGCGGTCGTGCGTCGTGGGTTGCGAGGCGTATAAGTGAGGGGTGAGTTGGTGGGGGGGGGGGGGGCAGCAGGGGTTTAAACCAGTCGTAGGGTCGCGTGACACGGCAATTATAAATCAGGTTTGATTGGATTTTATCTAATTAGTCAACGAGACTTGTGTCAACATTGGAAGATAATTGAGATGGAGAATGTATATTTTTTTATAATAAAAAGTATCGTTTGTGCCATTGTCTGTTTTATTCTTCTCTTTTTGTGAGATGATGTTATTTCAAATAATAGCTCAGTTATTGCTTTTTCTTATACCAAGTTAAAACTATTTAAAGTAAGGAAATATGCGTCCAGTTACTCATAACATGTTGTTTTTTTATTACGTTTTTAGATTTGTCAATGTATACGTAATGGGCAGTAATATCTTACTAAAATCCTGACTGATAAGTTCAAGTTGTTCCGATGACGGTTATAAATTAAGCTTATTACTTCCATTTTTTTCCAAAACGTATTAATCGTTCTGTCGCCTAGGTTATTCTTGTGGCGAATATGGCCCTGACAATTAAGAAGCCGTAAATATATTGATTTTAGTTATTTTGTTTAAAGTTTAGGGTTAGGGTTGTGAAAAGTTTATCTGTGGTCATGGGTTTGTGAATGTTATGGGTGGCTAATGTGTACAGATATATATCTACTTATTGCGTAAAAATGTTGTTAAGTTTTTCTTACCCTCACTTCCTCACAACTCTCACAGAAACCACGCCATTGTAGGTGAAGCAGATTATAGGTAATTAAATCCGAACGCTATAGTGAAAAAACTTGTAGAAACGTTCGATAACTTACCGGATCAGTTGAGGTAGATACGGCAGAACCACGTGATTATAGCTTGGGCAGTGGGCCAATAGCAGGGGGATGGGGGGGGGGGGGGGCAATGACAGCAAGTGGGCGCCGGTTGTTGTTTGCGGACTGGGGGCGCCGGCAGTTGTTTGTTGATTTGGGGCGTCATCTTTGTTTGCTGGCGTTATTAATGACATCGACTTTCCGATTTTCGCGAAAATTTGTTTGAAATGAGAATACACATGAGGCGCTTGTTTTTTTTTTATACAAACTCTCTAACCGCCTAAAAGCATATAGAATGATATATTTTTACAATGTAATATGCTTGTGCTGTTGTGCTTCGATCTACGAACAACTCGAGTTTGGAATGTTTCAGGTATTGAACTAGCCGCCTTTAGGTATAAAACAAAGCCGTGTTTTAAATCTCCTTTAATTTTAATCACACACGCGCGTTTCCTGGTTTACAAGTTGTGGGTTTGTGATTGTCAACAGGTAGTGAGACAGTTTTGGTGACCTTGGCCTATTTATGACAGGCACACGTGGTGGGGTTGTCTGCGGTTTCCGGTGTTGTAGTTGCACACGTGTGCATAATAAGTTAAGTCTGGACATTCTATGGTACCTGCACATACAATGGTGTCGGCTAATTCTCTACTGTTTACACATTTCCTGCTGTCTGTACATTCCGTAATGTCTGCACATTCCATGCTGTCAGTGGCGTACAGAGTTTCTTCCAGGCATCTCTTCGGGGGGGCGAAGCCCCCCCCGAAAAAATTTTACCGCCCCCCCGAACGAAATGAAATTTATATAATTTATATAGAAAATATATACTTTTAACAGTGTCTGCCCCCCCGAAGAAAGTTTACCGCCCCCCCGAAAATTTCAAGTGCCCCCCCGGAGAAAAAAGTCTGGAAGAAACACTGGTGGCGTAGCTACCGTAAAGCTAGCGTAAGCAAGGCATAGGGGCCAATGCTAATAGGGGCCTTTTTCCCTGTTTACATTTTTTTTAAACTTTTACATTGGAATTTTAATATTTGTATTATAAACAATTTTTTTTTAAAAGAAAACGGAAATCCAGTTTCTTTTCTACTGTAGAAGTAATCGAAAGTTACAAAACAAGCCCCAGGTCTTTCTTACTGGGGGGGGGGGTTGTACAGGGCACATCGGTATTAATAACACTATAGGCATTGTTGCATTGTCGAGCAAGCCGTTGAGAGAATTAGCCTATAAATAAACGTGAACATTGACTCTTTTGTGAAAATGGCATCCGGCACCCGCAAATTTATACGCATCGCTAAAAACTCTCTAATCCACCGCCAAAAAAATTCACCCCCTCCCCTCTCAACTCTCTGTCCTCACCGAAATTCCATCAATCCATAATAACAATTGAGCCATTTTTTGGTTAACAGCCGTGGACAGTGTTTTCACAACAAGCTACGTCGAAAATGTGTCAACGCTTTTCTGTTAGTTTTAACCTTAATTACAATTTTTTTTGTTGATCTAATTTATCACTAATCAATATGCCGCTACTTAAAGATTTGTGTTTGGTTCTCCTTATCCTTTATCCATTATTACAAAAATGATCCAATTACCAAGAAACATTGGAAATTCGTTTATAATAATCCAGACAAAACCTCTGCTGACCGTGAAATTTCCCACAACCCCACACACGGGGAGCAGCGCCCCCCTCTCCCTCCATCGAAGAGAAGCCAGAAAGCAACTTTGACTCCTGTAAAGTTTTCTAACGTTACATTTTTTTATACGTTTGGAGAGCGGTTTCTCGACAGTACGGCGGTTCGGTTTGCCACCCAGATTTCCCCAAAAGCTTTCTTAGTGCCTGGAGTCAGTTATTGGAGTATCCTGCACAATGGGTCAGGGTTACTGCTTAATTCAAAGGTCAAACTGCACAGGTGTATCAGCCGGCGCCCCGGGCTCTCCCCGTCAGCACTACGGCGCATACACTTGTTTTAGTGAGCGCCATGCCCTAGGGATACGGAGAAAGAAAATAAGGGGTGTCTTTCAGCCGCCTCGGCAGTAGTATACGATTAGGCTCCCAAAGTCTCTCCATTATTATGATATTATGAAACAAGTTGTAAATATGCCGTTTGGGTCGGTAACTTGGCCATCCTAAGTATCGAACATACAGAAGCAACTAAAACGGACTTCAAGGAACATATTAATCACTTTGCTAACTTATAAGAAAAGAAAAAACAAATCTAAATAAATCACGAGCAACTTTTAAAAAATGTGTATTTGGTTAGTGGCGTCACAGGGTTCGATATCACCCCGTCCAACAATTTTGCATCTCCTGTTGTTTTACCTCCTCTCCTTAATATATTTTATTATTTTAACTGAAAAAAACATGGCCTTGATAGTGAATTTTACGTGTCTCGTCATGGTATCACACCTAAATCGTTAGGCCCCTGCCATGTGACGCTACTGTGTTAGGTTACTTAAATGTTACTGGCTAACAGTTAACTTGTTAGTTTGTTTTTACATAAAGTAATATAAAATCAAAGGTATTTTACGTTACGGGTGCACTACATAATAACACAGTAGAAATACACAATTAGGACGTATAAAATACACAATTTACAGATTGACGTAGGGCCCAATTATAATTTTTGCATAGGCGCCCGAAAATCCTAGCTACGCCACTGCATGTTGTCTGCCAATTCCCTAATGTCTGCTCATTTCATAGTGTGTGCACTTTCCCTGATATCTGCACATTATATTGTAACTGTTCTATTCCAATGTTATCACTTTGCACTCTAGTTAAACTTTAAAAAAGTATCATTCAAATAAACTACGACTATTCTTGTTTACGTAAATAAAATATAAACCTTACAAAAACCCGGACTCATTAGAATAGGAAAAAAATAAAATGAAACAATTAATGTATTTTTAACTTAAAAAAAAACCTGCACTACTATTTAAAAAGCTGTAAACTTCAAGCTAAGCCATAATCCTCGTCTAACTCCCTTAGGCTTTACTCACCTGCCTAATACACTTTTACCTGTATTTTAACCAGCATATGTCGTAGACCTTAAGCTTTTCGCAAACGGAACTTCTGATATAAGTTTCTACACCTGTATCTCCACACACCCACACTCCAACATACCCACACACCCACATCTCCTCACACAAACACACCGACATACCCACACACTCAAATCTCCACACACCCACACACCGACATACCCACACACTCAAATCTCCACACACCCACACACCGACATACCCACACACTCAAATCTTCACACACCCACACCACACCAACTAACCCATACATCCAAAGTTACACACACCCACATCCTAATCATCCATACATCCACATACATACACACACACATCCCACTGTTACACACGCACATTCTCACCCCAAACCACACTCTCTTAAAACCACACCCCCACAACCACTCCCCACCCACCCTCACATATACACGACCCACTAATTAAATTAAAGCAAAAAAAAAATCTCACACCTTCATTCATTATTTTATCCAACTACAACAAAAATAGATCCGAAAATATGATTCGACAAGCGAACTTTTGGGGCCATTTTTATTTATTAACACGCGTCTACACACAATACAATTACGTCATTCCCAGGAGAGCGCTGAAATCTCTAACCCATGGGCCGTTACAGAAAAACAAAAGTGGCCCAGAAAACAAACATTTTAGGCGGGGAGAGAGGGGGGATTGTGAAGGGGTATGTCTAATCGGTTTAGCGTCAGTTCTAGTTTTATTGGGTAAACTGGAAAATAAAACAATATTTTCCTGACATGAAATAAGATTACATTACCGGATGTCGAGGTTTTTTAAAGTCAGTTTGGGTTGAAGGAATTACGTAGCAAAACCAATTTTTAGCAGTTAAACGAGAGGTTTAGCGGCTTAGCCCAAAATACAGGGGAATGACGTCTGCGTGACGTTAAGCTTTAATTAATTGCAGTAAAAGTTGGGGGGGATGTTTAAACTTGTGACAGGTAAGATTGCTGTGAGCACGTGATTTTTATTTCCGTGAGGTGTGATGAGTTGAGTGTTAGGAGGGTGAGTTTACATTATAAAAGTTAGGATAGAGAGAAAGTTGAGTTAACAT